GCTCTTTCTGATCATTGTGCGTCATTTCAGTTCATTTGCATAATTTTTTTGGCATGTCACATGTAATTTGCTGCGTTTTATTGGCAATTTTGCATTTCTGCGATTGTTTTGCATACATCTGCGGTCGCGTTTTGTTTTTTTATGATCAGTTTACATTGCTCTGTCGCAGTTGTGTCTCTTTAATGTCGTTTCTTTGCTTCTCCGAACAATAAACGTCCACACTTGCTCCATGCAGAGGCCCGATCAGGCTGTACTGTATGGGTTAGCTCAGTAATTTATCTGCCTGCCACCGTTTGAGTCTGGTAGGGGGGCAACGACAGCAGTTTGGTTTAAAAGCTTTAAGAGCAGTTCATTAATGCTCGCACAGTTTTTGTTTAAGGAAATAATCTTAAAAGGGTTTAGTGCAGATAAGAAATTCAAAGAAAGGAAAGAAAAAAAACTGGCAAAGTTGAGTGTGTGTGTGTGTGTGTGTGTGTGTGTGTGTCCTCTTGAGGGAGTACTACAGTCTGCAGTTTGCAGTAATAGGAAATGTGCTGTGAGCTTGAACTTGCTCCCCTGATGAAGTTGATTCACAGAAATCGGGCCTGTTAGGTTGTTGCTCAACCAGTCAGACATCTGCTCTCTGTGTGTTTTTTTTTTCTTTCTTTCTTTTTTTTTTTTTTTTCTCTCTCCACAGACACACATGGTTCCTCAAAGATGCTCCTAGTGAGAAACTCATTCACATTCTCACAATGAATTCCTCTCAATGAGTCACTCTCTGCTCGAATACTCACCAACAAACACAGAGCGCGGCGCATCTCATTAGCCGTCGCACATCCGGCGAAGTTGTGACGGCGAAGCTTTAGCGCGCATTCACACACGACCGCGATTAATCTGCCCGTCCAGTAAATGTGGGACGTCGTTGTTAGGTCTGTGTTGTGGCCCAAATATAAAAGGCAGGAAGAATTTTATTTTCTCTTTAACGAACTTCAAGGCCACCGATTCACCATCATGGCTCCTTCAGTCGTGTAACGCCTCGTGTACTTGTTGGTCAAACAAAACGTAGAAATATGCAGCAGCTGACGAAGAAGTACCCTTCATTCATCCTCCTCACTCTCTCTGTGTCAGCTTTTCTACGGCAGAGAGTTTTCACCTGAACCTGAAAGCAGCGCAAACAAATTCCTCCGAACATCCTGGACTAAAATTCAGCTGTGGCAAGCACTTTGGTGTGACTTCACTTTTCGTCAGTTCCTCATTCACTGACTCAGATCTCGCTAAATGAGTCATATCCCTCTTCTCTGTGCGTCTTGTTTTATTGATAATATAAGACACTGTGGTCGAAGCGCAGCGCAATAAGAGTTACGAGGAAAAGGCGGGGAGAGGAGGAGAGGGGGTGGTGGTGGTGAATCTATTCTTTTGAAGTGCGTGCTCCTGTCTGTTTTTATGTGTGAGCGTGGATTAACATAGACATTCCTCAGGCTCACACACTGTCACATGGACTCAAACTCATCCGGTGCACAAAAGGCCTGGAATCCGTCCTCCATCCCTCCCTCTCAGCCACCCGAACGCCGTGGCGTTCACTGTCTCGTCTGTTTCCTTTTGCTGCTTCTGCTCTCTCACGCTGTTCAACCCCCTCCGCTGGTTGTTTCTTTTCTTTTTTTTCTCCTTCTTCTTCTTCTTCTTTGTTCTGCTTTCTCGCATGTGTTTGTCCCACAGGGTTTGATCTTATTAGCTTCCACTGTGTTTGTTTTGGGAAGTCGGTGCGAGTCACGTTAATTGCTGGTAGCTTAAATGTTTTCATTTTAGGGGACCCGAGCTGTGTGATGATGATGATGATGATAATAGCCGGGGTTATGTAAAGGTGTTGTGTTCGCAGTCAAAGTGAATCCGTCACAGAGTAAAACTTTAACTTTATACATAATTTAATACAGCTGCAATTATCGGGGAATTAACTGATTAATCTAGCTGCAGAAAATTAGCAGCTAAGTAAAACAATTAACAAGTAATATTTCATGTCAAATACATTTACCTTTAAAGGTGAGAATTTGCTGCTTTTTCTTTCAATATATAATAAATGTTTTGGACTGTTAGTTGAACAAAACATCTGCAGCAGTCACGATGGATTCAAGGGAAAT